ATATCAACTGTATATAAATACACATACACACACGTGTACATAGACATGCACAATACTTGGGGCCACGTTTTTCATAAATACTCCATCAACTGTAAATATTAGTTCCTCTGAGTTATTTTAGGTAATTAGCACAACATATTAAAATGAAGGGTCAGGAAATTTCACAGTCTCACCTACAACTTGTATTTTGGAATTGAACTATTATCCAATTGCATCTAACTCTGGACTACAGTTAATTATACTCAGTACTTCTTAAGTCTTCATGAAATAATTTTTCAACCTTGGGAAAATAAAGAAGCTTGGGTGGCAGCTGCATGAGGGTCAAGAACCCTGACTTTTCACCACATGTCACCCATCCTCAGGACCAATCCCCACCCCCAATCTCGGGGCTCAGTCTCTTGCCCGCATCTCGGCCCCTCCATTCTCAGATGAGGAGGTGGGCTGCATCCCCTCACTGCCGACACTGCCTACTTTCCGGCAGCTGGGGCGCCAAATCCTGAAATTCCCTAATGATCTTGCTTCCCCACTGCTGCAAATATAGAGCAGCTGGTTCAGCACACAGTGGGGACCCAGCAGCTAAACGAGGGACCATGGACACAGATCTCTGGGCGGAATCTCCAGGGTTGACCAGCTTCTCCCCACACATCCAAATCATCTCCGCAACTCTGCGGTGGCCTCAGCTCAGCGCACTGAGGTTGTGACACACAGCAAACAGGACAGAAGATGCAGTCACCGAAATGGACACCTCCAGATCTGCCGAGCAGCAGGTCATCTTGACCAGCCCAGATGGAGCTGGAACTCAGGTGATCCTGATGCTGGAGACCTCCTGGGCCAAGCAGTTCACACTCACTGCCTCGGGCAACCTCATGCCTGGCAGGCTCCAATCGTCAGAGACCCTGCTTCTGTGAAGCGTTTCCTGCGGAAGGTCCAGGTCCAGCGGCCCCAGGTGATAGAACACTGTGTGGTCTGTGGCGACAAAGCCTCTGGCCAGTACTCAGAGATTGGTAGTGGTGAACATTGCAAAGGAGCATTAGGAAAAGTGTGATCTACAGCGTCAGAGCAACCAGGATGGCATCAATAACCACCAGAACCACCATCAGTTTTGCCCAGTGGAAAAAAGCTTAGTGGTTGGCATGAAAATGGACTCTGGACAGAGGGAATGAAAGCCCTTTGATGTGCAAAGGGAGAAACCAAGCAACTGTGCTGCTTCAGCTGAGAAAATCTTTATCCAGGATCTGAGAAATCCTCTGAGAGCCACTCCTGCATTTGTGGCAGATGAAGATGGAACAAGACAAACAGATCTGAATCCCAGAGGCTGTGAACATCCAGCAGCCTTTCTTTCACACATGAGGATGGCACCCCTCTTCAGACCATGTATTCCAAGGCTGAAACAAGCCAGCTCTGGGCACGCTGGTAAATGTAGTAGCCTCCCTTGCCAGTCTCCGTGAATCCCTTATCAGTGGTGATGCTTCAGAAGTACCACCAAAGGACCAACCTGCAGGTGAGATTACTCAGGCTTTGATACCTTAGCTAAAGCGTTTGATACACAGACAGCGCCTCGTCTTCAAGCCTGGCAGATGGCCTAGACACCAGCGGAGAAGGGAACAACCACGTCATAGCAGAGACCAGTCCATACCCATGACTGAGGTCCAAGCCCTCTTCCTTTTGAATACTACATCACATGACCAGCCTAATTTTAGAGTACTTCAACGCACACTACATCCGCAAGTCTATATCCTGCCTGCTTTTCCTCTGCCTGCGCCAGGTCAATCCCAGCCCTTTGGGCACTTGGGCAGGACTGCACGCCAGCCTGGTACAAGCCTGCTAAAACGAGCCCTTCACCCTTTGGCTTCACCCAGTGTACCCAGGTTATGAGCCTCTCCAACATCCTGGTGGCCACAGTCACCCACCTGCAGAACAATATCCAGCAGATTTTGGAACAATCTTTTAACTCAACTTGCATTTAGAAATTACCAAAGGGCAAAAACAAACTTTTCTAATGTTAGAGACCGGGATTAAAGAAAAGCAAAAGAAAATTCTTGAAAAACAAGACTTACATTTCATGGTAAATTCTAATTCATTTAAGAAAAAACTTAAGATAGACATTTGCAAATAATTTGCCATTAACATTCCATTTAATGCTCAACTTGTCACCTAAGAAGTTTTATGAACAGTGTTTCAAGAACACAGTAAAGTAAGTAGATGGGATGACAGAATTCAAGCCAATAGTCTCCTCTTTCAACAAATAAAGCCACAAAGGATTACTGTGCCCTTTTGCCTTGTACTTATTATAATAATTTACATTCATGTGGTATGCGATGGCTTTCTCATTATATTCAAGAAAGCAGCTAATTGCCCATTAACAACAGTTGTCCTGTAAAAAAAAAGAAAGATTAAAGCTTAGCAAAAATAAAATTGTTCAGACAAGATCTGATTTTAAAATTTCAAGAGGTAATTTGGTCACCTGTGCTTTTATTTACTTGTGTATTAAGTATACTATATTCCAACTTGAGGATATATTTTTAAAAGCTTTGTCCCCCCCTAAAATTATTCCTAGTCACCAAATTTTCACTTACCTGTGTCATTATGATTAAGCATTTGGTGGAAATCAAAATCAATACTACATAATGAGCTGTAATGGGAAAGAATCTGAAAAAATATATGTATGTATGTATACGGTGTAACTGAATCACTATGCTGTACACCTGAAACTCACATTGTAAATTGACTACACTTCAATAAAAAATAAGAATCAAAAAAAAAAAAACTACATGTTGAAACAGGAATGTATGTAAAATTACACTAAAACTTTTATATGCCTACCACTTAGTTTTAAAAAGACAAGAATTACCTATACCCACATAATGCTCCCAGTTCACCTGGCAATAATTGCTATTATGTTCCCTTCTTTTAGATACAAAAAGGAAAGAAAATTAAAAGTTGACTACCACTAATTGGGCAAGAAAGGAAAAAGCAGCAATTTCTACAGATTAGTATTTTTTATTGAAATTTGCATTGAGAAAATTTTAGATTCTTGTGTAGTTGTAAGAAATTATACAGCAGTCCCTCATACATTTTGGCCAGTTTACCCCAATGGTAACATTTAGCAAAACTGCAGGATAATATCACATCCAGGATGTTGACATTGATACAGTCCAACATTTTTAATGAGATTTCCTCAGTTTTCTTGTTCTACTCATCTGCTGAGTGCATGTGTGTGAGTGTATGACATTCTATCTTAAATAAATAAACCTAATTACCTCCACCCTCAACAAAAAATTTTTTTAAACTTCATAAAAATAAAATATAATATTTGAGTTAAAGGGTTGCTAATATCCAAGGGGACTTATTCACTCCAAAGGGTCAATTCTAGTTTCTTAAAATTGGTAATAAAGAATCCCAGATTAGATTTTTTTAAGTCTTCAGGCTAAGAAGTATGAAAGTTCAGTGAGATTCAAAGTGAGTACACAAGTTCAAAGACAAAATTGGTAAGACTTTCAAGACAGCAGCAAAGCATCAAACCAAATATGAAGCCTTTCTGAGTATGGGGCCCTGAGGACGAGGACAGTGTGTCACAGAAGCCATTTAGTGACCACCCTGAACACTGTATGGCAATGGGGCAGCAAGAGACACAGATGGACACATATATTCCATGTGTCTCATCAGACTTCACTTACAATTCACAAGCTCAAAGATAAATTATTAAGCATTTCAAGATGGCAAGAGCAGAGCATGAAACCAAGTGCAGGGACTTTCTAAGCACAGGTCACACGTCCATGTGGTCAACCCTGCTGTCACCATCCACTTCATACCCTTGGCCTCAAGCCATAAGAGAACCTCTCTTCTCCTTCCCTCTTAATGCTTCTGCACAGATGAGCCATGCTGCCTGGTGGTGGTAAACTGAGGACTCATGGAGAGGAGCTGTGGGTGACACTTGGAAAACGCTGTTATTAGCTGGAGATGGCTGTTCTAATCTCTTCCACTTAAACCAGGAAGGTGGGAAGTGAGGCCTAGTCTAGGGAGAAGATGTATATGTACCCTTTAAAAAAACAAAAAACCTCATAATGAATTGAATGCCTAAATTCAAATTCATGTGTCATTTATTCATTCTCTTATGGTCCCAGTGAATATTTATCGGCTTACTTTAAAACGCTAAACAGACCTTGAAGATTTAACTATAAACAGGCAGATGTAGTTCCTACCTTCTTCATGGCCAAAAACAGCAGGAGGAATTGCAAGGAAATGAAAGCAAATTCAGAAGAGATGGACCCAGGAATCATGGGGTTCTTTAAGGGCCAAACACCTAAAGGAGCGTGAATTTCAGTCTTTTTTTTTAAATTCATGATACATTTCTTAACTGAGGTATAATTGATTTACAATGCTGTGTTTCAGGTGTATTAAACAAAGTGATTCAGATAAATATATATATTCTTTTTCAGATTATTTTCCATTATACATTATTACAAGATACTGAATATAGTTCTCCGTGCTATACAGTGGGTCCTTGTTTATCTGCTTAGTATGTAGTAGTGCGCATCTGGAACTTCATTTTAAATGCAGAGGGAGCCATTTAAGAGCTTCCTATTCAATCATATTTGCTTTGTCAAACACACTAAAAACATCAGGGGGTGGAGTATGTAGTCAGAGAAGGTACCGGTGCAGTTCATAGAACGAGATTGGATAGTTGCCTGGATTGGGGACGGGGAGGGAAATACTAGGGTTGGGATTTGAAAAATACTTAGTAGAACTGACAAGACTAGGTGACTGACTGGACGTGGAAAATCCAAGGGAGAATAAAGAATCAATATGGAAGATTCCCCAGGTTTCTGGGCATGTAATGGGAGGGATGCTGGTGCCCCTTCCCGAGGGTTAAAGAGCCAGAGATAGCCAGGCAAAGAGAAAGAACCTGGAGCTGACTACTTCAGGTCTCCGCAACTTCCCTAAGGAAATCCCGTTAATCCAAAACCCGCCCCCTGTTTTGGCTGGAACAGCCCTTCAGCGGCTTCTGTGCTGCAGGTGGACCGGGCGGGCAGCCAACCAAGAAGGTTCTTTTCACAAGAGGGAGCCCTTGCGCACAAGCTCGAAGGCTGCCAGCGGGAAGACCGAACACACAGGAAGTGTTTGAACGCCCCAAAATACTCCCCGCTTACAGGTGCTGGAGCGGCTCCACCCCGTAAAAACCACCGACTCAGGGGTGGAGAAGGGCGGCGGGCTTGACGCCGCCCGACAAGTAGCCCCGCCCCCTCAGAGGGCGGGGCGGATGCCCGGATGTGGAGTCTCCGCGAGAGTGCGTCACGTGAGGAGCCCGTCCGGGGGCGGCCCCAGTCGCGCCACGTGACCGCCCCAGCCAGCCAATGGGAGAGCGCGGTGGAGAATTTCGAATGTGGCGGCGGCAGTCGGCGGGCGGCGAGACACGGTGCCTGCGAACCCGAGGCCCCGGAGGTCGGGGCGCGCACGGCCGGACAGCCTCGCGGAGCCGTGGGATGTGAGGAGGAGGGCGACAGCCGTGGCAGAAGCGGTGGCCGAGGTACGGTGGGGACGTCCCCGCGGGAGGCGGGTCTCCGACCCTCTTCCGGCGGCCCCTGCCCCTCCGCTCCGCTTTCTCCGAGAAAGAGGAGGCCGCAGGGTTCTCGAACGTGGAACCGGGGCGTCGTGACCCGCGTTCCCCTTCCCTCGGGTCTCTCTGTCGCGCTGAGTTCGGTGGCCAAAAGCTCAGGCTGCGGAGTCAACCCCCTCTGCTGAGCCGCCCGACCTGCGCTTTCCGCTGCTCCAGTTTCCTCTTCTGCTAAGTGGGGACCCGCACCTCCCGCCTTGCGGACTTGTGTGACTTGTGATGTGTAAGTAAAGCGTTTGCGGTAGTTAAAAGCCACGCTCGACGTGAGGGCACGCAAACCAGCAGCTGTTTTTTGTGCAGCGCGGTACCGTTGACGGCCTTTTCTTTTGCTGCTTCTCTTACCACGGAGAAGCTGGCAGGGGCCATTGTCCTACCTGGCTGCCTCAGCACCAGGAATGTTGAAAGAATTATGACGGAGATCAGATATACTAGGTTCTTTTGAATCCAGACCCCTTCCCCTAATGCTGTACAGGTTGAGACTACCATCCCGCGCTGTTTTCGTTTGTTCTCTCCGCCACACCCCCTTTTAACACCGTCGACCTGGACTGGAATGAAACTTCTGATACGGCAGATTTCTTTTGTAGTTTTATTGATCGCATGTAATGACGAAAGTTATTTTTTAGATAAGCCTTGCTTTTAAAATACCATAAGGAGGAGGTTACAGCTCAAGTGGTAGAGTGCATGTTTAGCATGCAGGAGGTCCTGGGTTCAATCCCCAGTACCTCCTCTAAAAATAAATAAAACCTAATTGCCTACCACCCTCGCCAAAATGAAATAATTAAATAACACAGTAACTAAATAAAATATTAAAAAGTAGAATACCTTAACTAGACTAACTTGATCAGTTACCTAATCTGTCTGGCTCTCAAACATCTCCAGGTTCGCACTCCAGAAACTTCACTGTGGCAGGAAATTTTATACAACCCCTTTAACGTTAGTGCTTTTTAAAAAAATGTTGTGCTTGCTCTACTGGAAACATCCCAGTATATACTGTATCTGTATCGGCAGAAAGAAAATATTTACGTGAAATCTGTAACATCTATATTTAAGGCCCCAGAGGAAAATAAGGAAGGCTTGGAGAAAGTTTTCAAGAAAATGTAAGTTTCAGGAAAATACTTGACTAACTTAGAGGAGATGAAGGTATCCTTTATAGTGAAAAACATGTATGTCAAGATTTTTTTTTTTTGCAGTTTTAAGATCTGCAAAGTACAATCTAACAGCAAAAGATGTTCATGAAAAGTAGTTTGACATGCGTAGTAGCAAAATACCCCACGTGTGATTTGCAGCATTGAAAGATTTAAGGATGCTTAGGTATTAATATACTCAATAGCATAGTCCACTGATGTGAGGTTTGGTACTTTAAACTGTATGTAGAATAGTACTTATACAACGTCTTGTTTGCTGTACTCGTGATTTACTGGGAGTTAGCTGCTCCGAGTTTAGAAATAATTTTGAGAAACTGGCATGTTCCTCTGCCCCAGTCCCTGCTTTTTCTAACTCAATGATTGCTAATAACAGCCTAGTAAAATTGTATATAGTGCTACATAGTATGACTAAACCTCTGAAGATCACTGACTCTCTTGAGAGTGTACATATGTTAAGTAACTGGAAAGCAAAGCCCAGATACATGATTGCCTCTGAACTAACACTGTAAGCATAATAAACATTAAAAGTGGGCCGTAAGTATTGTCGTCAGAAACATAGTGAAAACATCAGATATATTAAGCAATTCCATAGTGCCTCATACATACTAAGCTCCCAATGAGTATCTGTTAAAGAATAATTAAGTGGCATATTACAGAGTCTTTGAGCTGGAAATCTGTATTTATTAAACCGTCCCTATAAAGTACCCAAGGAGGATAAAATTATGCCAAAAATATTAATGAGATTTATAAGCTGCAAAGTCTAGGTAATGACCAGGTTAGCTGTCTACTTTGAGCTAATTCTACAGTTACTAAGTCTCTATTTAATCCACTTTTATGAACACTGTGTTTTTCAATCATGTTTTATATTTGATGACATCATCTCATAGGAAAATTAAATATTTTTATTGTTTTAAATTCCTAGGCAGAAGATGGCCAAGGAAAGATGCCTTAAAAAGTCCTTTCAAGATAGTCTTGAAGACATAAAGAAACGCATGAAGGAGAAAAGGAGTAAAAACTTGGCAGAGATTGGCAAACGGAAGTCTCTGATAGCTGCGCCAGGCCAGATCATCAGTAAGAGGCCTTGGTGTTCTCCTTTCCGTCACTTTTTATGGTTACATTTAATAACTAATAAAACATTTTTTATCCTCTTTCAGCCAACACTTCTACACTGCTGAGAAACTACCAAGACAACAACAGAATGTTAGTCTTAGCTTTGGAAAATGAGAAGTGCAAAGTGAGAGAAGCCCAGGATATCATCTTACAGCTGAGGAGGGAGTGTTACTACCTCACGTGCGAGCTGTACACGTTGAGAGGAAAACTGACTTCACAAGGAGCAGAAGAACGTGCCCAGGTATTTTCATCACAAGGGCTGAAGTTCTTAGGAAAAAATGTTAAAGCCATGAATTAGTAGTTTAGATCAGTTGTGTTTTTTAAATTAATTATCAGCAGCTCTGTTATCAGTGACTTCATCGGCACATCTGTCGCCAGGGCACCAGCACAGTTGTTGTGTGTGGCCAGCTGGGGAAGTTTCCGGCAAGGAGGTGATGGAGGCTTGGACTTGCACAACTCGCTTCTGAAAGCAGGCAGCAAGACAGGGTACAGAAGAAGCAGCTTAGCCTTTTGCACAGTGGGTCCCTTTGAGTGGTCAGCGAAGTTAGTCAAAGGCAGGGCAGCTAAGCTGGAGGTCTGAGAGCTGTAGTGGAAGCAGACTGGTCCTGAAGTGCTATAGAGCTGAGAGCAGCTTTTGTTCCATCCAGTGGGGTTTTGTAATAACTGTCTTCTTGGGGAGATGGGAAGTATTTAAGTGCTTTGCGGAGAATCACTGTTACCTCCCAGTTTGCTAAATAAGGACAGCTCTCCATTAACCCCCAAACAAGGAAATCCTGAACATTTTGCTATCCACATTTCAGTCTATTCTTTGTGTGTCCAGGGATGTCTAGACCAGCCAGCCAAACTATAATGGTCATGGAGATAGTTTAATTTACAGTCTTCTCTTTGTCTCGTTGCATGTAATCCCTGGGAGAGCAGTGACGAGCCAGGGTCCCCTCTCTCCTTTTCCCGGAAGCCACTGCCAGGGTCACTGCCTGGAGCAGAGGAAGGAAGAAGCAGTGGGGAGTGTCAGGTGTTACCTGGACAGTTTACCTCCTTCCCGGCTGTCTGTTCGCCACGCCAGTGCAGACCATTCGTTGTGTTGGCATCTAGGCCAGGAAAGGAAGCCAGGGCATAGTGATGAGGGAGAGGGTGTGGACTCGAGAAAGGAAATCAAGTCACCTCCCATGGACAGGAGGAGTCAGTTTGAAAGACTTTTTGCTTCCGTGCAACTAAGGTGACCCCGTGCTGTTTCTCTATGATATACAGAATGCGTGTATGTGTGTGGAGTCCCATATATAATACACAAATGCCATATATACATGTGTAATGTAGAGAATTCTCTATAAAGATTAGATGTGGTTTTTCTTTAACTTCATGTGAAGGTCAGATTATTTTTAATTTCTTTTCCCCCTTCAGAATGTAATCTTTCCTAATTTTTTTTTCATTGTTTGGTCAACTAGTGAGGAAAAAAATTTCTCCAAAGACATTTGAATCTTCTCCCTTTTCACATTTTTGCTGAAATCACACAGAATAGTGTGACATGAGTACTCAATGAGATAATCAGAAAAACTGGTGAACAAATTCTGTTTTTGTCGGCCTTTGGACATTTATCAATGATTTTTGAGTGTTGATTAAAGTGTTAGTTGCTGGGTGAAAGTGTTCTTAGCATTTAAAACATCAAAGTGTGTTTTCTGCTTCCTGTTGAGTGTGTCAAACAATCTCAACCATCATTCAGCAGTTGTGTGTCCGTGTTTATCAAGTCAATTTAGCAGTGATGGAAAAGCTTAAAATGCTTTAATAAGAAAAATGTTTTTCTTACCTACTAATAATTAACTTATAAGGATTAATCAGAATGTAACTTCTAATAGCCTTTTGTTCCCTTCATTTTATGATGGATCTTTTAAATAATTTTTGTATCACTCTATCATTAATTATTCTCCTTTATTTACCTTCAGTGATAATAATAGTTTTAGAACATTAGCTATATTGATTCTAAATTTAAAACTTTTAACAGCGTTAAATGTCTAGTTGTTTTGTTTCTGATGAACAGTACTAACCTATTTTTAATGTCTACATAGTATATGTGCATCAAATTTCAAAAAGCAACTGAACTGAATTAGAATGGCTTTTAAGGAATCAGACTGCACGTCTGGTCTTCCTAGCACAGCTCCACATGTCTGCCCGTGTCTACACTGAGTTCCCGTCCTTCCTCTGGCTCTGTTGGCAGAAGTGTCCCTGCTTCCGTCGAAGGCCAACCCTCCCCTTGTGCCCCAGGTTCCCTCCTCTCATCTCCTCTAGGACTTCGCTCCTGGGAGTCTGCACCTGCTTCCAAGATGTATCTCCCTCTGCTGAATCATTCTCGCTGCTACAGATGCGTTTCGGTGGCTCTCACCTTAGGAGGAGAAAATAAACGCATCCTCTCCTGCTCCCAGACCCCTCTGTCTCCCCAGTCCCTGCTTCCATTCACAGCCGAACGCTGCCAGAGAGAACAGTGGACTTCCTGTCTTCACGTCTCCACTTCCATTTGGACTCACTCTTATTAGGCTTTTTTCCCTTCCATTCTGTTGTCACTGTGTGTCAAGGTCCCCAAAACCTCCATGTTACCACTTTCCGTGGTCACATCTCTTTCTTGTTGGCCTTGAAGTACTTTATAACACAGGGATTACTCTACTCAAAATAATTTGATCTCTTAGCTTTCTCACCATCTTATTCTCGTTTACCTTTCTGGCTGTTCATGTCCCTCTCTTTTACTCACGTCTTTGCTTGTAACCATCAATTGTTCTAGACCCATCTTATTCTCTCCCATAGATTTAAATATTGTTTGCCCACTAGTGACTTCCAAATTTGTAGCACAAGATACACACACACACACACACACACACACACACACACAGTTACTACTTGATATATCCACTTATGTATTTATAAAGGATCTCAAACATACTTTGTACAAAGCGCAACTCTTCATTTTCCACCTCCCAAGGATATCACGTACTTCTGCTTCCCTAAATTTTAACTCAACTCAACAAAACAACCTACGCATTTACTCAAGACTCAAGTCATTATTTGTTTTGTTTTGTTTTTTTGGAGGGGGCGGGTAATTAGATTTATTTATTTTTTTAATGGAGATACTGGGTTTGGACCCAGGACCTTGTGCATGCTAAGCACACACTCTACCACTGAGCTATACCCCCACCCCCATTTACTCAAGTCAGAACAGTCAGAGGCTCCCCTCTCCCTTCTTGTCCCTACCTCCCCCCCACCCTACCCTACCCTGACCCCGTCAGTGCGAGCACACTCCATTATCTCAAAACCTTCCGCTGGGCTCCCTCACCACAGCCCTAGCCTTCCCGTGCAAGCTAGTATTATGTCTTGCTGAATTTACTGTGATAATTTCCTAACTCCTCCTGCCCTTGACTCCTTGCCGTCCGTGTTTCACACAGTGGCCAGACCAGTCTTTCTAAAACTTAGATCATTTTACTTCCCTACTTAACATTTAAGTGACTCCCCATCACACTTAGACTAAAACCCAAACTCACCCTTCGGTTCTCAAGGCCCCGCATTATCTGGCCTCTGCGTGCCCACCCCCTACTGTGCTTTTCACTGACTGTGTTCCGACCCCAGTGGCCTTTCTTTTCTAAATGCAGCAAGGTCTTCCCTACATCATGACTTTTGTGTGTGCTGTTTCCACTGCTTCCTCCTCCCCCTGCTCTTTCAATGGCTGGCTCTTTGCATTCTTCAGAATTCTGGATGAGAGCCCCCCTCCCACATCAGTTACTCGCCGTCATTTCACCGGAGTATTTCCTTCATTGCATTTATCGCTGTAACTTTCCTTTCTCTTTACCGTGTTCTCTCCGTGCACTAGAGTGGAAGCTTTAAGAGGATGGTCCTTAATCTGTTTCTAGCTGTGGACTCAGTTCCTGGAACAGCCTCTGGCACCACAGCAGACTGTCAGTAAGCATTTATTGTTGAGTAAATGAATACTCCATTATGAATACTTCAGCCGTACCAGTGTTTTCTCTGTTTTAACACATTAACAGGACCAGAAAGTATGTCCCTCTGGAATGGACTGCAGTAGTGACACCGACTCTGGGGATCTGCTTGTGGAGGATTCACCGTTAGTATCAAATTCATTATCAAGATTATTAATGCCAAGAAATATTTAATTCTGTGATCCATTTACGAAAGGAAATTAGCATCATACTGACCCTTGTATTTGGAGTCTGAGTTGTAAGAATGTATTTCAGAAAATTTGGTATGTTGAAATTCTGTTCTATAAAGCCAAGCCAAAGCTTTCTAATATTTAGTTACTTTTTTGATGTCTAGAAGTGAGAAGTTTCTCTCGAGTTTTTGAACTACTCCTTTCGATTACGTTTTTCTGGTATCATGTCTTTATTCTAAGGAGGGTTGGTTATTCAAATGATGGTGTTTTGCCAGTACTACAAATAGTTTGATTTAGAAAAGAAATCTAATAAAATACCATATTTAACACAGCTGTCACTTTGGCTAATCCAAGTGATTCTTAAATACCATCAGACCCCAAACACCCTCTTCTCTTCTAGGATTAAGCACACTTTGATTGCTTATGAATTATTGAAATGTAATTACATACAGTAAAATGCACAAATCTTAGGTACACAGTTCGGTGAGTTGGACTAATGTACACTCCTGTGATCCAAAACCTGAGTTAAGACACAGACTTAAGATACTACCCTCACTCTGGCCCAGGGTTTCTCAGTCTTAGCACTGCCGACTTTTGCGGCCAGATCATTCTTTGTTGTGGGCACTGTTCTAAGCATTGTTGTGGGATATTGCCAGCATCCTTGGCCACTACCCACTAGATGCCAGTAGCACCCTGCCTCCCACAGCTATGAGAATCAAAAGTGCCCCCTAGACATCGCCAGGTATCCCCTGGGTGGGGGGGGGGTTAACAGTCCCCAGGTGAGAGCTGCTGCCATAAACCGTTCCCTCAAGTCCCTTTCAAGTCTGTGCCCCTCTCCTTGCAGAAGTAGTCACTAATACAACTTACGTCCTCACATTAGTTTTTTATTTTTTTGTGTTTGTTTGGAGGGTGGGGTGATTAGGTTTATTTATTTTTAGAGGAGGTATTGGGGATTGAACCCAGGACCTCATACATGCTAAGCACGTGCTCTACCACTGAGCTATCCTCTACCCCCTCCACATTAGTTTTAATCATGAATAGTTTTTAAACTGTTGAATGTTAAGATCTGATGAAATATTTATGTCATGACCAAAAAGTAAAATGAGATGATTGAGTTTTTAGAGAATTTCTGAAATTGTTATTAGTTGATTACCATAACTCTGTTACCTATACTTGTACTTAAGTTTTGATGTCCAGAGGGAAATTCTGTACAGAACATAAAGAATAAAATGATAATTAGAATGAAACAGCCATATTAAAGCATAAATAATGGAAATTTCTTGTTCCATGAACCAAAGGGGGACAAGATTTTTGAAGAAAGTGAACATTCAGAGGAGTCAGTAGTTAAGCACCATGAAAGTATGCATTACCAGAAAAAAATCACAGCTCAGGTAATGATAAAGCGGGCTCCTAAAGAATAATCACATTGAATTTCTTTAGTGTGTTTTATGGACCAATCTGATTGTCTGTTTCTCCAGTTAAATGAAATTACAAGTTACAGCATGTTTTCAGGAGGAACTGTCCAGTGGGGTATGTTAGTTCCTCCAGTGAGAGTTGAGTGTCAGCCGTAACAAATCAGCCTCCATGTGTTCAGGATAAGTGTTTTTGGTTTCTTTTGATAACAGAGCAGACATACTGATTTAGATGGGAATTATGATACTAAAGAAAAGGAAGAAACTTGATTTGTAGAAAATCTTAAAATTTGTTTTTATTGCATAATTGTTAAATAAATTTTTTATTGGTATTTTCCAAGGCAAGTTCCTCTTCAGGAAGCTGACTTTCCAGGACAAGGAGAATCATCCCAAATAGAAGGTGATTCAAATGAAAATCTAAAAATATTGTTAAGGTCAAGATAAGATATTTGAGAACAAGTAACATAATTAAATTTCTCTAAGTCTGATTTTGTTACCTTTTTAAATCTGCTTGTCTGGTATTCTTCTGCTCAAAGCAAATATCTGTTTATTTATACAGAATGTAAGAGTTTTAAAATACATCCATTTATTTTGCCAAATGTATAATCAGGAACCTTGGCTATAAGGATGCCTGTAGTTTACTGAGCCTGCTGTGTGTCAGGCTCTGTGTTAGGCACTTTATTTACATCATCTTACTAAACTCTCATAACAGCCTTGGAGTACAGGCACGGCCCCATTCTATATAAACTCAAAGGAGTGAGGAAAGGTTAAGTTCCCAGATTTGCATTTACTTACAGTAAACGTGGGGAAACTACAGAATGACTTTCAATTTTTCCATTTTTAATTTTGAATTCTGAGATTCTTGAAATTAAAATTCCCATAAAGTAAAACTATTTTTCTCATTTGTTTTTTAAATTATCAGAGCAAATACCTACTATTTCCCAAGACAGACTGGGATTTGATGTGGATACAGGTGAAGAGAAGTCAGCTGACAGTGTCTTACCTAGAACTGTGTCTCTCCGTCGCAGTCTGAAGAAACCTGTTAATAATCTATGTGAGTTCAGTAGCTTGGATGATTTTGGAATCAGTCATTTGTCAGAGCAGTCTTTTGAACTGAAAAGAATTAGATGTGTACACCCACCAGGAAACATGCAAATACCTGAAAATGTAGAACAGAATGTTTATCGATGGAACAAGGATCAAATCAACTTACCACCAAAGCTGATTCACCCAGGACACTTTACTGAAACAAAAGAGGACATTTTACAGGACAAATCTGAACAAACTGAAAACAAGCACAGAGACGCACTAGGAGGAAAAAGAGAAGGGAGAAGAAAAGCTAACAGAAGGAGGAAATCAAAACCTATATCAAAATATAAGGGGAGCAAAAGTGAAAATAAAAAAAACGTTTCCAAAAAAAAGTTGGGTAAATCTGTCACCTGCAAGGATGCTTACAATTTTAATTTGGAAGAGGGTGTTCATCTTACTCCTTTCCGACAAAAAACGAGCGAAGATTCTAAAAGAGAAGAAAACAGCAATGAATCTGAAGCGAGCATCTGTGAATCCAGCAGCTCCGGTGATGATTCTGATGACCTCTATTTGCCCACGTGCAGGAGCCGTCAGGATCTCACCAGTGAGTCACATAAGAGTCCGGTCACCCGGCCTCGATCTAAAAGAGCACTGAAACATAGTGGTGAGGAGGAGACAGCAGGCTCTGAGCCAACAAAAACTCCTAGTAGTAAGTGATCTACTTGTTTGCTTGCGTTTTTAATGTTTATGATAAATGATCACTCCTGGTATTAGGTACTGTACTTGCCATCTGTTTCTCTGGGGGAGGTTAGAGACTTACCATCTGTCTCTTTGGAGGAAATTACAGTCTGATTAAATAGTGGGGGATTGAGGGGTGGGTGGAAATCACAGTTGTGTTGCTTTGACCTGCTTTAAGCTAATTTAAATCCTCTTTAAGAACAAATACTACCAGTTTTGGAGAAAACATTTTTACTTTCAGTGAATGAAGGCTTCCAAGGTGAGGAAAAAACTTTGGTGGTATTGGGTTGAATTAAAATACCTATTATACACTCCCCTGAAACATCCCCTTGAAAATGAAATCAAACTTGAATCCAGTGACCCGTAACTTTAACGGCCTTGTTTGGTATTCAACAGGACCGTGATTTAACATAACTTTCTGTTTAGTGAAGGCTGACTAATGAGACCAAGAAAGTCTTTCCCTCAATTGATGGACTTAGGATTCTTTTGTAAGATATTTGTAAGACATGCAAAAACTGTGGCTTAGAAAATCTCACGTAGATTAGTTAGATCAAAAAATAGGCGTGGTTCAAATGCTGATGATACAGCCTGCACCTGCCCACAGATTCTCATCTGGGACTTTTCCTTAGGGTGCTAAAGCTAATATAAACGGGTTGTATCATCCTCAAAATATTGTGATGCTGGTTCATTTGGTCCTCAGAACAACTTTGTGAAGTGTCAGTGACGCCATGCTTGTTTTGTTTATAAGGAAAACTAAGGCCGAAAAAAGTTAAATGACTTTCCAAGGTCAACCAGTTAGGTGATGGTATCATGCAAGTATCTTTTTGGAAAATGTGCTGTAATGATGTTACAGTAAATCAAACAAGATTGGCAAAATGTTGATAATTATTGAAGCAGGGTGGCTGGAGGTTCATTACACTGTTGCCTCCATTTTTGTGTATACTTGAAATTTTTCATAGTAAGTTCTTAAAAGGAAAAAAAATATACTCTAAAATAGTGTTGTTCCGAGTTTGGTCCTCAGACCATCAGTATCAACATTACTTTGAAAACTTCTCAGAAAAAACAATCTCAGACCGTACCCTACATTCTTGAATCAGAATCTGCATCCTTTTAACAAATTCCGCCAGAAGATTTATATATGCATTAAAGTGTTAGAAGTGTTGTTCCAGAACATAGCAACTGATCTGATTCTTGTTTAACCATGTTTTCCAAACTGAAAGTTGGAATAATTAGTGTAGTACAATATGCTTATGTGGGAACAAGAAAGACAGAGTATTTGAAACCCAGATAACCCTGGAGAATGGTTACTAAGTATGAAGTCATTTTACAGTTCCAGTGTAGTTTTTCTTGGGAAATGATTTGCTTTTTAAAGCAATTTTCAGAGATTGTCTTGCAGTGTTCTTACTGTGTACTGGGTACCTGTCTCCCAATATAGATGTGGCTCCCAGGTAGAATAATTTGGATGTTTATGATAGAAAAAACCATTGGAATCTTTTTAACCTACTAGCTTTACTAGAGGGAACCCCTTTTCTCCTGGTTTACACAGACTGTGATTTCAAATTTTCACTTATTTAAGAAGTGAGTTCAAGTGGCTTTTTAAGACCATATGAAGCCATCTGATGATAAACTTTGGAACTGAAATAGAGGCCTGATGATTCTGAAGAGCAAAGTGTGACTAAACGAAATTGCAGAGTTTAAACTAATTCTTTGTGCCCAGGCTATCCCAGGAGAATTGTAATTTCTCTTTAATTTTTAAGAATTTTAAGTTTCAGTAAACTGTTGCTTTTAGTCAGTTCTTCACATCCACAGTAATTAATATTATCTAGGATGAAAAAGTGATGAACAAGTGTTTAAAAATCTGTATTATAAAATGCTGGATTGTGTATACATTTAGGATGTATAATTGCATAGTTTTAATTCCTGTGTTTTTTGGTTTTGTTTTTGTTTTTTTTGAAACCATATTCAATACAAGTTGTTTTTGTAGGTGCACTACCTGAGACTCGCCGGTCACCTCATTTTAGCCTGAAGGATATCACAAATGTCCCCTTGTATCCTGCAGTGAAAGCCAGAAAACTTTCTCTTTCTCCAAAAAAGAACATAGAAAGCCCACCGGTATCTCTGCGCAAGCGCAGGTGCACAGCCATTGTGAACTATAAGGAACCCACGCTCGCCTCGTAAGTATTTGACTTTTAATGTTACGTGTTGGGGGGAGTGAGGTTGTGAGTGTTATTTGAAATACACCATTTTGATGAAAAACTGAAGTAGGAATATTCACAATGGCATTCTTTCCAATAACTTTTACTGAAGAGTAAGTTAATATTGGGAAGCTTATAATTAGGCCTAAGGGTTCTTTTCACCCTTACAGGAAACTGAGAAGAGGAGACCCTTTTACAGATTTGTGTTTCCTGAATTCGCCTATTTTCAAGCAGAAAAGGGATTCCAGATGCAGTTCAAAAAAAAAAAGTACGAAGCAGATACAATGAAGCATTTGTTGGATGCTATTTAAATTCATCCTACACCCCCTTCTATGGCGCCACGAGAGAATCTGTAAGATAGCGTTCAAGTGGGTGGAACTCTTTCCGTAGAGTACTCTCTTGACAAGACTCTTCAATCATGAACATTTCTTCAGAACTGTACATCAGATGTGATTTTTTTTCCTTCAGCCTTTAATAAATTTGGGGTTTTTCCTTTTAAAGATAAATAATTGGACTTAAGCATTATAATAGTTTAGAATTCTTACACTGCCTAAAACTGTATTGTAGTCAAAACATATCTTAGACCAACATTTGGAAATTAATAATGTTCATTCAAATTAAGATGTTTTAATTATAAGGCATCTTTATTTTTTCCCTTAAGTGGGTAATACTATAATTGAATGAATGATTTTTGAAGACAGGCTGAGGATCTTTTGACACTTCCCTGTATAATATTTGAATAAGATAAACCCTTGGCACTCACAGTAGGGTACAGCCGTTGTATTTGACTTTTCAGATAAAACGTGTAAATCATGATGAGAGAGTCAATGTTTCTCAGGCTCAGGGACCAGGTAAGTGACTAGCTCTGAACCGCCAGCTCTCCGTGTACTTGGTGCCTCAGCAAAACCACAAATGATGATGTTCTGGCCTTTCAGGATGGCGCCTCATTTGGTCAGAAATCCCAGATGTGGAATGTGTAAATGCCAAGGACTCTTTTGTGTTTTTGGTGAACCAGTGAGAGGGAATTAGTTTGGTTCTGAAAGTTTGAAGCCTGTACTTGTGTATTCCTCTTTAAACTTTAGTTACTCATTTTTAAAGAGCAATAAAATTTGTATAAGATATTGCTTGTGTTTTCTGTCTGTTCTTTAAACATCAGAGGTGGAATCTCTCTCTGGCTCTGGTGGTCTTGACTCTGAGTCTTCACCAGTCTCGCCCCTCGTGGACGTTTCTCTCCTGGACCTTGGTTTTTCTCTGCAGTCACCGCCCCAGCACACCCCCTCCTCATACTTCTCCTCCTCCCACTGCTCACTGTGCAATCTCCAGGTCCACGATCAACTCGTCTTATTTCACTGGTGACTCTTCCAACCCGGACCTCCCATTTTCTTGATTGCGTCTGCACATCTTCCTGCATTCCTTACCAGCTGTCATCCTTTCCATCAGCCAGAATTTGGCTCTCCCTGATGGAGTCACTGATGCATACATCCTGCCTTCCCATCGTAGTCTCTTATTTTTCCAGTTTGTTCAAGCACTCCCCTTACACCTGTTCTTTAAATTCATGAACGTTCTAGAATGGCTATCTTAATTAAGATTAAATACAATTTAAAGTTTAATTTCTCAGTCACAATTGCTACATTTCAAGCACTCAGTAGCCACACGTGGCTGGTGGTTACCACGCTGGGGACAACATGTACATAGAACGTTTCTGTCACCACAGACAGTTCTATTGGGCAATTTTGCTCTAGGCCCACAGCGTGCAACCTGCAGTCTGCAGGCTAGATTCAGCTGTTCACCTGCTTTTGTGTGGTCTGCAAGCTAAAAATGGTTTTTAGGTTCTTAAGTCAAACACTTGCTATTGATTTTGATGATAGAAAACATTAGCTCCGAACCCCAATAGAGTGCTTACATAATGTCCTTGATGTCACCCCTTAGCCTACAAAGCCTAAAATACTTACTATCCAGCCCTTTGCCAAAAAAGTTTGCCAACTCCCGCTCTAGACCATTGACTGCCTTTTCTTTTACTTTATAAATCTTTCCTTTGTGACATTTTTGGATCTAGCTTTGATCCTCACTTTCCCTTCTGTCCAGAATCAATGACTTTTCTAAACTTGGTGGTTTTGTACTATTATAATTTTGTACTTTTAATATTTCATTATTCTTGTAATATTTATCCATAGACAGTTCATTGTTCTGCATTTTAACATTTTACATGAATATTACGTTGTACGTCTCTTTTTTGCAACTGACTTTTTAGGCTCAACATTGTTTTTTTAGGTTTATCCACATTGGCAGATGTAGATTATTTTCATCCATGCTCAGTATTTTGTAAATAAACCAGACATATTCTTTTGAGAAACAAACTTGCTTCCACTTTTTCATTGTTACATATTAGTGCTGCAGGTAATATTCTCCATTCCTGTATGCGTGTGAATAAGTCTCCATGGAGTTACTACCCGGAGGTGGGATTGCTTTGTAAGTGGTTGTTATCAATTCTGCTGATACAAGGAGTATATCATTTTCCTAACAGTTTTTAAAATTTAAATACATTATTTCTTAATTTTTATTGAAGTATAGTTGATTTACAATGTTCTGTGGGTTCAGGTATGTACCAAAGTGATTCAGTTTTATATGTGTGTGTGTGTGTGTGTGTGTGTGTGTGTGTGTGTGTGTGTGTATGTAT